ATCAAACAACTAAGTTCACCATTACCATACACGACGCTAAGTTTCCAACCGTTTCACGTTCGGTTGGGTTTCCATCTATCCTACGTTTCCTATCCATCGAATGCGCCCGGAACGAAGGACGAAGAAACGAACGCGCGCCGCGCCGGAGAAGTTTACGGTCCGCTCGCGTGTTGGTGGGTGTTCGCGTGGGTGCCCTCGTGCGTGTACACATGCGTGGGTGTGTATGTATTTGTAAGGGTAAGTGAGCGTGTGTTGTGAGTTGGCCATAACTATGTAACAATGTAGTCAATAAAGTCAATATATCAGCGGTTCTTACGAGCCGCAGCCGTTGCGCGAATTACTACCGCTAATAAAACACCGGCTGCTCTGATTACAAAACACAATAAACCAGAGCCCGGGCGAGAACGGGGGAACAGCTGGCCGGTTCGGTCGGCGGCGAGAAGATACGGGCGCCAAACGGGCACTGTGCAAATACTGGCGCGCGCGCCAGCTCGCAGGGACACCGAACGCCGGGCCAACACACAAATCTAAGAAACACTGGAAATATTCAAGCAACACCGCCAGCTGGAAGGTGAATCCCCGCGTGTGGAGATCGAGTAATGGGCAACGTGTAACACAAGGTTTTAGGTAATTTTCATCAATAAAGGAAGAACAAAACAACTAAAGCGCCCGGTTCACGGCTGCGGGGCCCCGGGTGTGCACATCGACCTCGGCGGGGATAAAGCTGCGTCCCGTATTTAAAAAGATGAATGGCTCTATTCCGCTGATTCAGTTATCTGAATCTCTGCCCAACGCCACATTTCGGATTAGAGCCGCTTTGCTTTGCGGTGGTAAAGGTGGGATCGGAGAGACAAAAATTTTCATCGGCAAATCGCCAATGCAAAATGAAGGTACCATCCTCAAAGCGTCTCAGAAAATGCGTGGGCCTATTGAATGAATATTGAGGTCCAATGTCTGTAGAACGGAAAAATCCCGCGATCCTATAAATTAGATCGTGCGTCCACGTAGACAAAACCCTACACATCCAATATATTATCCCTTGCCTAACGGCATTGGGGGGCAAAATACTTCGGGCCGGCGGGATAATAACGCACAAAGAAGAAATTCGCCCCGCGACGAAGCCGCAGTTTTCTGCTCGATATACTCGTTCACCGGGCGTCGGTTACACGCATGAAGCAAGCGGCGTTTTTCGCCAGCTTACGACACCCACACTCTACAACACCAAGAATCGTTTCACTCTGCTAGTTATCGGCTGGCGTTCGGCATTCGGTTCGACCGCTTAATTAAAGCAATAACTTGAATAAAGTGTGGTGAATCATTCTGAGAAACTAATCCGCCACTTTATCGAACGCCATCGTTTCTCCCACTGGTATAGTACATTCAATTTCCAGTCCTAATGCGTCTGCAGATTTTCCACTCGACTCGACGCATTGGAAATTATAATGTAACACATAATTTGCGCCGCGCCGTCTTTCGTATTAATGAAGAACTGGAAGAAGTCCAGAAAAACGCTGCGACTTTCGAACGTAATTGTCCCGTTCTGCCCATTTGCTTCGCGCGTATAATTAATAACCGACGATGGTGTTAAGGCATCGGAAGTGGGAGCTTTCATGCGAAATTTTCGTCCAACTTTGGCGCTGCCCGAATCTTTTCAATTCGGAATTCATTAGTTCCGTTCAGCAGCGACGGCGGCGGTAGCTCCGGGAACGCGGTGCATGCATATTCATCTCGTGGAACGAGTGTCCGGAACGTCCCGAAGAAATTATGTTTGATGTGTACATTAGGACGCAGCGCGACGACGGCAGTGGTGGCGGCGACGACTAAGGACCGCGACTGCCGCCCGTCTATATGTGCGGTACGGCAGTGGTGGCAAGAGGGGTTGCGGAATCCCGCTTTCCTTTATGGAAAATAGTCGTCCGCTCCGGCGGCACAGCACCATCATTCAGTTAGTTGTTTGGACCACAAGTGGGGCTTTATTTTGCAAGATAGAGATAGCCCCGCCTCGCCCCGACGCAAACAAGTAAAAAGCGACATTTATCATTTCCTAATCTTTTTTAAAAGTTAAACGTCCGAAATGTGGCGCATTTTTTTAGTTTCCAGCCGCGATGATTAAAGCAGCGGGTGCAAGTTATGTCTGCGGTTTTTTTGTTTCATTAATATATTTTTTGACGCGGCGGGCAACCGCGCGCGCCGGAAACTCGCGTCCACAGCTTTTCAACGCCGTTCTTATTTGCATAATTATTAAGAAACAAGATATTTTTATCTTTCGTACTTGATGATTTAGTGCCGCGCACGTAAACAACATCGGCGAACGCAATTATTTCCCCACAGAGAGTTAAATTATCTTTAGGTACACAGTAGCACCATCTAGCAATGAGTGGTCAAGTAAAAAATGCAAATACAGAGGTTATGTGTATGTGACAGCGCCATTACCGCGTTTGATTTATATTTACAAGCGATGCGCTGTTTATCGATACCGCCAGCGCCGCCATTCGAAATACTTATTGTCGGCGGCATTGTGAGACTGAGTGGAAGAAGCGCAATTGCATGTCGGCTGTCTTCCGGCGCGCACACACTCAATGTCCCGGCGACCGGTGAGCAATCGACGTCGCGCCGGTTCGACTCGAGGGAATCGGAATCGGCGCTGTGACGGCTCCGCTATATTGCATCCGTCGTTCTCAGGCGGATCAAGTTATCAATACTTCACTTAAGTTCGAATCGAATTGATATTCAGGGACGTGTAAAATAGCATCTCCTCGTCGCACAGCAAGACATCGTCTAGACGGAAGTCTTGTCTCGGTCAAACGCGTATTGGGCTTGTGCGGTAAACAACCGCTTTAATTACCTGCGATCTGAGAAAGCTAATAGAAACGTGAGCCGGAAAACAGATTTATGCGAATGTTTTTCGCTATTTTTTCGCCTTGAGAATGTAGCAAGCAGGCGTTCGGTTTTTTTCTCTGGAGTGGTGGATAAGCATCGGTAAAAGTTTCGAGCCTAAAGCGAACGGGTAGTCAGAAGAGAAATCGTCCGTGGGGCGTATTGATTCTGCCTCGACGCTGGCTCGCTCGCGATAGTAAACATATTTTGAAGCCATAAAATGTCCGATCAAAAGATTTATATATTTAAGAAAACATCAAAGAGCAATGGGATAGGCCGAATGGCCGAGTTACCTTTTCCGCATCGTGTGCGCTGGAATCGCAGGTACCGTACAGGAAAATTACTTTCGGTCGTTTCGTTCGTTAGCTACATATTCTGAACATATGTATGGGTTAGTATGTGTGCGCGCCCCGGCCAACTTGTGTATCCAAATTGAATTTGCAACGAAACGAAATGAAAAATGAGAGATCGGTCGCACGAAAAGCGCAACTCAACTCAACTCAACTCGCTCGCTGAAATCATCAGATGGTAATTTTATGATAAAAAATTAATACGCGAACAAAAAAGCGCAAGCAAACGGTTGCCGCACGCGATGCAATGATTTGATACGGTGCGGCAACGGGAAAAATATCGCACGTAATTAGGCAAATGCTTGATTAGCGCGACACATAATATGCACATCCAGTTGAGCAATTGCGCGGCCGCGAAACGCGTGCAGACGTTCATAGATCAGGGAATTCGGTATCCTGGCACCGCCTCTTACGTGTTCCAACTAAAATCTAAATACGAAAACTCCCACCCGAGCAGTAGGATACCTCCGATCTATGCATACACAACCAAAACAGAGCCAAAACTGCACTGCGGAGAAATCACTCAAGCGATAAGCAAATGCAAAGCCTCATTGACAATTTGAGCAACAACTCGAAAATTTTGATCCTATACTCAAAATGTCAGACGATTCGCGTTACGATTTAATTAAACTATTGCTGACATCCTGTGCGCGCACACACACTGCAAGTGGAGCGTACTTTTCCGGATGGCATAAATCGAGACGTCGTTTGGGCATTGTTTCCATCCGCCATCGTTTTGACATTAGCAGATGTTGCCGCCGTGTTCCGTTCGCTGCACACAATGCCAGGAGTACTCGCTCAAAGTGATATTTAAGAGGTTCGCGAATCCGAAGAATCGCATGACGGAGTGGATGTTTTCTTCAGGCACCAGCGAATCGCGGCAGATGAAAATGACGAGCGCGCGCGCGCGCAAGAAAACGACATGGGGGAGCGGAGGCGCGAAGAAGCCGCTCGCACCGCGATAATTAAGTCCAAATCAAATTACCATTTGGATTTCATGCTCATTAAATCGCAGTCTCGAGAAGCGAGCTGACGCACAGGCGTAGCGATTCCTTACTCGGCACCACACAGCTGAAGATCTCCAACCGAGAGCTATATTAGCATTTCGTGCGTTTTTGTCTTGTGAGCAAACATCAATTTCGATCGTCATCAAACTCGTGAAAATCGCCAATTAAAGCGCTGCCGCCGTTGCCGACACGAAAATAAAATCAATTACGTATTCGACATTCATTTAATTTGCACTTAGCGAATAATTTATCCAGCAATTACGATTTAATTCCTCGCGATTTTTTCAGCGCGCGCACAAGTGCTGTATGCAAATATACACACAGGGGTCGCTCGGTGCGCGATATGAGCGCCGCACGAAATGAGGCCTGCATAATTAAAATTCGCAACTTCTCTCGTTAACTAGCGGCTACTAGGTAGTATGGTCCTGGCGCTGTACGCCCACCTAACTACGTCTTTCTCGCAACGTTTGCGTTTTTTTTTCTGTTGTGCTGTGGCTCTGGCTCCTCGTTCGCTTCGCACATTAAGCGCATGTTGATATGCATGTAAGCATCGTGCCGCCGACGTGTCATTCACGCTGCAGCGTTTGAATAAAACCGGTAATTGCAGAATTAATATTTGAAAGCGCGTCAAGTACTTTTCGTCCCGGTATAATACCCAAGACGCGCATCACAAACATTTTTTCTTTTAAATTTGTATCAGAAAAATGCCATCAATTGCCATAAAGAAACGAACAATTTCGAAGAAAAAGAATTAAATAAATCTTACCTTTGGGTGTGCTCTCCTTGGAAACGCTACTTTTGGGTCTATCTGTAATCAAAACAAGCATGTAGGCTATTAGAAAACGAGTATACGAAATTAGGCAAAATACAGGACGAAAAGGGTATAAAAGTAAATAAAAATAGGGAGCCGCGTCCTTAATTATTCCGCTTGTTTTACGAGTACGAATAAACGAATTGCTTGAATTATTCTATTCCATTTCCTTCCGCCGCGGCTTCTAATAGTGGTATTATGGGCAATCAAAAGAAAGCAGTTGATCCCACGCATAAGTCTGAAGAGGCAAACAACATCTAACCGCACGAAAATGCGTTGCCGCTCTGTTGCGTTGCGCAAAAAAATCCGAAAAAAAAGTCGTTTAAAGTTCGCCTGCAATGACTCCAAGAAGAAGTCACCCAGGACGCAAACAAACATGACAATCAAAGTCCGAAAACGGGACAGTTTGCAACACATCTTAAAATTAACGATATCGCGCTCGTTGGCGACGTTTAAGGCTCTACATTCGCTAGTGGGCGAGTACGTAACGCACACGGCGTTGATTTATCGATTGCCAACCACCCACACATACATCCTGACGTCGAACCCTATTCTATATCCTGGAATAGAGACGCATGGGAAGAAGCAGGATGACGATCGTACGCACTGAGCGAGACTTTTACTGGTGCATTGGCTGCCGGGGGACGGAAAAGATGAGAAAACGAATTGTGCGAAACTCTATATGAACCCCGCGGAAAACGTCGAACGCCAGATAGATACATTGGGAGCTCAGGCGGCAAGGCGGCAGGGTGGAAAGTTACACGCTCCGCTCCGCACACGTCTGAACGTAAGGGCCGCAAAGCGAGCGATGGAAAGAGCGAGTCGCTGCCGCCGCCTCTGGGCGAGCGCGATCGGACGAGTCGCCGAGAGTCAAGTCTCTATAGATCGCCCGACGGCGCGGGTCTTCCGCCCGTACAGTTCAATTCCATCAAGACATGATTGGTTTCACGGCTTCGGCTCCGCAATTACGCTTTCCACTTTTTGACAATCGCCACGCCGGGAAAACAGAGACTAAAGTGCTTACACTTCAATTTATAGTTTTCATCTTTTATAACCTCGTTTCGTCCGCACACTCAGAACGACAAGGTGAGACAGCGATTTGAAACGACGCTCTTTTTTCTACCTGTAACGATGACCCACAAACGCATACATGTCGTGTCGGTATGGCCAGGTAATAGGCAACTGGGGAGTGCGTAAGGGAGGACTTTGCTTGTAATCAAATTATTCCAGTTGTTGGACCGTACCGGGCAGAAAAAAAGGCCCATGCAGTGGTATGGCTGTAATAACGTTAAAAGCGCAGCGATGCGGAGGCAGAATCATGTATTGAATTAAAAAAGTTGATTTTTAATGACAACATTCGCTTGTCTGATGTCAATGTTGCTATTATTGCTGTGTGTTTGAAAACGTCCTTGACTTTTCGCTTTTCCCACGCTGTTTAAATCAGCTTAACAAGAACGCGTGACTTCTGTGAAAATCGCGTGTGCAGAGCAATGCCTCGAGCCTTGGACCGAAGGGTAATGGGGCAGTCCTCATGAATAAGGGCCATAAGTCAACGAGGCTGAGCTAGCCGCCCGGCCATGGTGTGCTTTACCAGAACTAACGAAAGAGCAGTCCTTTTGTAACCCACCCGTCGTCGCCCGGTGGACCTGGACCTGGCTGGATGGGGGCGCCGAAAGCGAAAACCGCGTCGGGGTCGGTCGCTTCATTCATTGCGTTCACGCTCCAAGAGTCCAAAACTCCAAAGTCCACCTCACCCAGCCTACAATGAGACACGAAACAATTGTTGCCGTTGTCCGTGTGCTACCCCTTTTTTCTTTTCAATGGTCCATGTTCGATTCGAACCAGGGTGAAAAAAAATCATTAATTTTGGGTCTTCACCAAATCGCTTTTACGAGTTTTCAACGCCAATGCCGCAAAATGTAATGCATTACCGCGGTGGTATTTTGTTTTATTTCTCATTTGAAATGCCAAAAGACATTTTTATTTAGCCTATTAACGTGGAGACTGGCGGCAACTCGCGATAAAAATAATATAAATGTAAAAATTGCCGGTGCGTTGCGAGTCGAGTACATACACTCTCGCACACGGAACAGGAAAAGACGCAAGAGCGAAATTGCGATGGGAATGAATATGAGTGGAAGGTGAATGGGAAAAAAGTACCCAGCAGCCGACGACGACAACGAGAGAGCTTGTGGAAGCAGGCGTCGGAATAAGTAACATAATGATTTCAATTTAATTTAGGTTATCTCTTGTTTCCAGCCGGCCGCGTTCCAAAATTAAAATATAATAATAAAATTTAGTGCGCGCGCCGAGAAACTAAAAATGAATGAAGACGCTCGCCTTAGTTAGTTTGATGCGAAAATGTTACCTCGAGAAATACGAGGCAAGGTTCGGTCGCCGCTTCTTGCACAATGCAATCGCGACAATGGTCGACGTCGCGAGCGAAAAGATAGGTTTGTTAAATTTTTATTACTCGCTGAATGCCATTAAGGTAATACGATTTCCCCCTTTTGCGCGCGAATCGTCAGCGTTGGAAATTCCACGGCAATTTGTTATTTGCGAGCACAACAAAACCCCACGCCGCCGACCACACGCGGGAGTGAGTCGTCGACGCCTTGCAAAGTGCTGATAATGTAGAATGGAAACAAAAAAAGAAGAAAGCTGCAAAAAAAACTTTCGCCACCGTTATATGTGTATATCTTTGCTTTCGGCAAAAATACGAAGAAAGCGTCGATTCATTAATCGTAATTTTAACTTTAAGACTTCTATCCGCCAAGATAACACTCATCAATTGTTGTTTAGTTCGGGGGCGCGTAAACTTTTTCCAAACTTACTATCGACGCGTCCGAATGCCCGGCGCCTCCACATCCGCAAACTAATCCAGCTAGCTCGCTGCAGGTATCAATTTATTTACATTAACGAATCTAATTTGTTCACTGCTTGTCCGTATGACAATCTCGATGGTTTTTGCCCACTTCCGCGTGGATTATCATAGTAGGTACAAACGGTGGGCAGACGCAAACTTGTGCGAAGTTGATTGTCACTGTTCGTATCAGTGTGTGTGTGTGTGTGTGCGAGGGCAAAACGCAGGGCAGATTATGAGCGTGACAGTTAGCAGTCACCAACCGCAATGACGCCGCTCTTTGGCGATGTCGCCTCTTCCTGTTTTACGCCGCCGCCACCACCACCAGCATCGTCCTGCTTCCACTCGTTTGCGACGCACGAACGCGAGTGCATTTTCAAACCGAGAGCACAACAGGCGAACATAACAAGCGACAACAAACAACAAATTAAATTTTGCGGAGGTTCGTCGGTTGGCAAGCGAGGCGAACCTCACAATTAAAAACGACGACGACAAGCGCGTGTGGAGTGGAGCGTCGGCGGCGGCGTTGGTGGCAGCGGCGACAAGAGGACTACATTTGTTCTAGCGTCGAGAGGAGGCTGGATTGTAGAATTGCACAAGTGGCGCAAAGTGCGAACTAGAATCCCTTCAATCCTTTCGGCTGAGGACATTCGCGCATTGGCTGCGGCGACAACGAAACAGAAATGAAAAAAAGAACTAGATTGCAAATGTGTATCTGATAATTGAAATAATATCCTATTCAAATACAGCGGAAGAATTTAATTTCGCTCGATTTTCAGTCCTCCCTCGTGATCGTTCGTTATTTTTTTACGAGTGTGGGTTTTCAAATTGATACACGCTTCAGTTGTTCGACCATTTGCGCTAGTGGGACACTCACTTCTGGCTTCCACTTTTAATATACAGGGTGGTTATTTAATAACAAAATTATAAAAAATTGCATCATTATTCTTTAATTTTTTCAGGTCTAAAACAATGATTAATTTACTTATACAAAAGTTAATGAAATTGTCTGTCTAAATAAAAAAATATAAGACATGAACGACCAGTTTTTCCGTCCAATCCATCCCCATACGCTGTCTCTCAATTATTTTATCCAATTACCGGGCGGGATCGAATGAAATGCGGTATCGGATAATTCCGGATTCAAGAATATGCCAACCAAAACGCGAACGAGTCCACTTTAGTCGCCCGCGCCGCGGCGCATACGATTTCGGTTCGTTTTCACAACGCGCTCGCGACTCGTGCACTAATGAGGCACGGGAGGCAAACCACCTCCAGGCCACCAGGTTGCTATTACGGGCGGCGGGCGTAAGAGACAGGGACATGGCACGTATTTACCGCTTGGCTTACTGCGCCCGTTACCCGCATCGTGCGTGTGCGCACAATTTTACCCACATGTCCAAGAACCCAAGTGAAACGACGAGGACAAAGTCCACGGATGCACTTGCCGCCCCCTGACTCTGGCAAACTGGTAATTAGGCGCTCTATACTCGAGAACATGGTGCATTTATTAAAACCATAAATAATTGCCACGCAAGGATTAATATTTAATTAATTATTTAATTAGTGCGTTGTCGAAACACGCACGCACATGCACGTCACGGCCATCGACGAATATATATTTTTAATCGCGCGTCGCGGTTCCCCTCGCCGGTCGACCGTCCGAAATACGTCCACATTAAGTGCCATTAATAGCGGGCGTCGCATAACGAGTGTCGAAATTTAATTAACGAGCGCGATGCGTAACGGGCGAAGGTAAATATTGGCAGAACTATAATAAACTGCTAATGGCGTCGGGCAGCGCGGGCCCCCGCGGTTATAAATAAGAACCAGATGGCGGTTCGAGGTTCGTTTCGCTTCTTAAATATAGCCGTTGTAAGTAACAACCCACCCGATACATGTAGCACACATTTTTATGATCGAAGAATGAAGGTGGGTTGACTGGGTGCAAGTGAGGGACATTTGTAGGTTATGTCGGACACTATCCGCACGTACGTGGGGTTCGCTGCCGGCGATATCAGTCACAATAAGATTGATCCCAAATCGTAGGCCTGTTTTATCGCCTCACTATAAAGTAATACCCTCTCTGTCCCTTGAAAAAATCGTAATACGATATGGGAATCCATTGTTCCGC